GACTGCCTCGCCTCGCAGCTCGCTCGAGGTTCCCGAGGCTCCCGGAGCGCTCGGTGGAACCGAGTCATGCGCGCCACCGTCCTGCACATCCCCACCGAATCTTCCCGTTCGAGCTCCGATTGGTCCCGCTCGCAAGGTGGCCGTCGACGTACGTCACCGTCGGGCGGAACCTGGACCGACCGCGCCTCCGAGGCAGCCTACGCACCCCAGGCGCCACTGCTCTTGCCCCTGCTCGCTCCTCTCCCTTCTCGCGATTCCTAGACTCACCTGAACCGCGAGCAGCGCACCGCGACTAGCCCGCTCGCTCTCGCTCCGAACGCCTGCGATCCACCGAAATCTAACCGCCAGAACCGTCTCGTCGTCCGTTCGATCCCGATGCGTCGCCGTTTAATCGTTCCTCGCGCGCCTTTTCCTTCTTTCGTCTGATCGTTTATCGCGTTCGATCGTGCCACGCAACAGGTTTTAATTTTCGAACGCACGACTTTAGCGAACTGCTACTCGCGTAATTCGCGATGCAACAGGTGCACACCGTGCGATCGCGATCGACAGTGTGCCTTCTTTCGAGACGTCCGGAACCGAGTGTACGAGGTTACCGAGTACCCGGTCGAAAAAAAACCGAATCGAAAATTACTCGTATCGCGTGCCGCGTACGCAACAGGTACTCGCGCCTCTCCGGAGAGGCGATTAATTAGCGAGGAAAGCGGACCGTCGGAAACCCCGAGGGGGTGGCGTATCAATAGGAACGGTCGAATAAAAAAGGCTGTTTCGTCGAGCGCGAAGCAACGGGCGTCCGACGAGCGAGCATACGCGTCGGAGGAAGGAAGAGGGGGCCGGTGCTCGTCGAGCGAACGGGCGAGCGAGCGAGCGAGCTTTAGTACATTTAAATGAGAGCCACAGGTAGCAGCATTATGCAGTACGTGCCAGCCACCCCTCGGGAGGGGCGAGTTAGATCATCGTGTGCCGGGGATCCCCCTGTGTCGTACCGTTTCAACTACCCAGCTGGCTTTGCGCCTTCGCACCTGTGGGCACCCTCGAGTTTTCTCGATCGGCCCGACTCTCGTAAACGTTCCGCGAGGGTGGCCGATAAATACCGAGCTACCGGTCCATGGCTCGCCGTCGTTCACCCAAGGAAATCGTCTACGATTAATCGCGCACGCGCTCCTATCGCTTTTATCCTCGATGTTAATACTCGCAATACGTACACGTCGTGTCAACTGCGCGTAACCAGCGTAACAACGTAATATTCGCGTTATATCGTTGTTCGGGATTCGAACGATTAAATGGGCAAAAACGCTGCAAGATCTTAAATTGTTCGCGTTCGAGTTTACGCTGGTACGTCGAACGTTCCCAAAAAAAGCTAAAAATCGCGAACGCACCGTTTCACCGATGCCAAATATGCACGATCGACTGTGTCATTTTCGCGGTTCGTCATTATACATGGCGCAGCATAGGGGTCCGTTTCGCTGCTTTTGCGATCGTTTTAAACCTGCTCCATCGTTATATCGCTTCTTTGGCAAGTTTATCAGACGCGAATACCGCCCCCGCAAAGACGCGATCTCGATTCGATTCCTTGGAATTTGATCGAACGCGAGCGCGTTTCGGAATCGTATTTGCTTAGGACTCGACAGGTTGCGAGGTAAGTAGTTGGTTGGTGCGCGTCGCGAGCAACGGAAGGAAACCGACGCGTCGGAGAAACGGAGACGAGACGAATAGAACGAAACCGAGCAACGGCCCGCTACGTGCCGCGTGAAAACGCTTTGCTACCTGAACGTTTGCTCGCATAATTTAACCGCCTCTCTCCTAACCCTGAACCCTAGGTGACGCGCCTTGACTGCACCTTGTCTCCGTGCACCACGATCTACGGAGACCGCGAAAAGATAATCCGTGTGGTTGTCTTCGCGAAGAAATTTCGCTTCCGGTCGATCCTGCTCGTTCCCTTCTCGAGAAAAAACCCCGCTCGCTCTCTCGCGATCTAAAAGTTTCGCGATCGGAAAGATTTGGAACGTGGCGTAGGTCGTGACGGGCGTGTAAAAATAACAGGATCGTGCGCGTGAATGGAGGACGGTAACCGACATAATTTGCTCGACTTTATGCTTCGAATGAATATTTTAATATTTTAATATTTTAATACGAAATACGCGGAACGATTTTTACGACGGGCCACAGCTTTTTCTGTAGCGGCGTGCACGCGCGTCGTCGAGCTTTCCCTCGACGAAGGACGCTCGGAAGGAAGAAGGACTAAAGAAGGGTGGGAGAGAAAAAGGGGATTGGGTGCGCGACGGAAAAGGGAGAAAAACGCGGGCGAAACGGTGAAAGGAGAAGGAGCGACGTTCGTTTCGTTCGAGTGGGGATGAAACGCGAACGGAGAGGGGACTGAAGGTTCGAAAGGGAGGGATAGAAGGGAAGGCTATCTTTCGAAGGGGAAAGGTAAGCGTTGCCGAAGGAATCGTTCGCGAGGTGGCAGCAGTGCGCGGCCGGTACACCCCTGTTGGATCGAAAAATTACTCTGCAACCCCTTCGCGACATTTCCCGAACGTTTCGAGCCCGGTTTGTCGGTAACGGTGCTGCCATCCCGCGAGAACGAGTCGAACCACTCGGGACGAGCAAAGAAATTTCTGCTACGTGGAGGAATGATCGACGGTCGAGCACGAGAGAGGTTCGGCACGAAGAAAACGAGTTTCTACGACGGCGATAAAAATCGAATGTCGCTAATTCGAATTCGAACGAAACGCGAGCCACGTATCTGTTCGAGCTTCCTCGGATTTCGTTAATTTTAACGAAAAGTTTACTCGGACACGATATCGTTTCGGATTTATCTCCGGACGAAAAAACGGGGCAAACTTTTTCCGCCCCCCTGATTCTCTGGTATCGAAAAATAAGCGAAAGATACGAGTAAGGTTCGTTCGAGTTGCGCGAGAGGGGAAATCGATCGCTCGCGCGTGGAGCGATGCGAGGAGCGCGAAAAAAATATGTCAACGATGGTGGGGCGAAAAAGACAATGGTTTTATTTACCGTGAAAGATTCGTGACTGGAATTCGAAATATCTCCAGCGGCAAACTCGTGTTTCGTTCTCGAGGATCGCGGTTTTCGTCGCGGTCGTTTCTTTCCGCTGGAAAAGCTTCGGGCGACGAGCGGCGAGCAAAGTTAACGGACACGACTAGGTTCGCCGGAAACGGGCGGACGGAAACACGATGTTAGTTGACCCTCTCTGGGGTTCTCGATCGTTCGTTGAAGCGTCATAACCGTCTAGGCCAGGAATGGATTAAGCTTGTCCGGGATGGGATTCGATTATAGCCGAGCGGCGGAGGATCGAATCGTCCCGCGTTAACTTCCTCGACCACGATCCTTCACGGGGACCAGCGAAACTCGCACGGGACTCGCGGCCGACGCGAATTTGCGTTTGAAATCGAGCAGCCGGCTTTCGCCGTTCAACGAACACCTTCGAACCTGCCGCTAACTATTCGAACCCGTGCTCCCAAGAACTTTACACCGTGACAAACTTCTCCGACGCGACCTAGCGATGCAATTACCGGGCTACGCGAGGCAAGATTCCCCTTCTCGTCTATCTCGCTCGAACGGTGCTCTTCGTTCTCGAGGACCGTCATTTCGTGGCGAACGGAAAAGCAGAATTTTCAAACGAATCGAAACGAACGGTAGATACCGCATCGTTGCGCGACGAAAAAGACGACGTTTTTCTTTCGGTTTCCGCAGGATACTCGACGGAAGAGGATAACAGGTTACACCCTCGAATATCCGTGAATCTTGCCACCATTCTGGCACCCGTTACGGAACGGAATCACGAGAAGGGCCGAAAGTTTCGCGAGATAACGATCGAAGAACCGAAGTATGCACCACGCCAATTTGCCGATCGAAATTATTATTAAGAGGTACCCCTGGCGAAGGGCCCGACGAGAGGTCCGCCAGGGAGTCGAGCCGCCCTACCACCGTCGCCGTTCCAACGAACCGAACCGCCAGCTTCTCGTTTTGCACCGTCAAACCGTAATATTCGATGCGCGAAAATCGGGAAGATCGAACAGGCGAACGTGCAACAGCGAAACGAAAGGAAGAAGGAGAGAAGAAACGATTTCAGGGACCAGCTTGGACAGGGAAAAAGGAAGGATGCCTGGTCTCTCGTGGGTAGACCATCTATATCGTTTGTAAAATATATCGTAAAGCTTCGGAGAAAGTCGGCCGAAGAGTTACCGCGAAGAAAGAAGAAGAAAGAAGGAAAGACCAGAGAGAGGAGCGTGCGCGCGAGCGCGAACGCGAGCGAACGATTCGAGGCAAAAGAGAGACCGAGAGACTGGAGGCTAAGCCTGTAATCACGAGATTGCCAGGAGCTACTGCAGCTGATTGTTATCTTGTATCTACACCCACCACTTTATCGCCGGCCATCTTATTATCCTGGACATATTGACGTCACGCACGTACACGAAAGAGGATAGCCACGTACGGTGTTCTCGCGAGGTTGCTCCCTTCTCGGGGATGAAACGTTTCTAGCCTGGAACATCCCTTCTCGAATGTTTATCCTTCTTCGGAC